TTAAGACATTTATCAAGTTTCTCCCGGTTTCCAGTCCATTCCATTCCTAGAAACCCTTTTCGTATCTGCATCATTTCGACCAAATAGATCACTTGAGTTTCCAAGACTTCGACATTCGCGAACGGAGTGGTACAACTCTGTGAAGGTGGGTTTCCTTCTCCACCGATTTAAGCCGGACAAACTTTATGACCAACCTAGCGGCAAAGAGTACGAAAGCCACCTAACGATTGCTGCTACAGTTACGGTTACATTTAACTGGGCTTCGTAATCCAGCTGTTGAAGAGTGTTCAGGTAGGTCTTTATTTGCCTGGTCAGATTGTGTAACTCGTCCGAAGCTTTGACTCTCACTTGAGGTCTCTATACCAGATAGTCAACGTGAGCCCAAGCAATTAAGTGCGGACTACCAATGCGTCACTGAAACCTTTCTCGGGCTCTAGGATTACACAAATTTTGAGCGCTACACTAGGATGCCCTTCCCAATATTTGATCAAATAGGACAGTCTTAGTTCCGGATTCGCCGTAGCATTCATCACGCCCGATTGGAAACTGGGAATAAACGCCCAACGACGTATGGGATCACCGTTAAGGTGGATGATTTCTGGCTTTGGGAGCCCTAAATTTCATTCGACCGTCCCTGTCTCCTGTCAAGCACGATCTCCAAGTGCGCTATCCAATAAAACCAGAGGGATGCCAACAGGTGAAGTCTAGGACTGCATCGAACAACAAAATGACTGAACTAATACGTCGATGCCCCGCAGTGTCACAAAACACCCATCAACTGGTGGTCTACGAACATATCACCATCGAATTCACGGTGACGAAATTATGAGCCGTTGTCCAACGTAACGAACTCGCGAGACGCTACTCGCTCTCCCTTCAGTTCAAATTCCTGTAACCTTTGTTCTAGTTCTCGAATCCCAAGGAAAGTTTCAGCCAACTGCTATTGAGACGCTTCTGGGTTCCGGTTACAAAGATTTCGCGTGTCAGATTTTTTAACTTATATAACTGCGACAGGTATTGCCGACTGACAAGCCTACTCACCAAAAGTATGCACCGTCTAGGCGGTAAAATATGGGGCCATTAGGCGGATTAATTTGTATAAATAAACCGTGGTTCTACAAGCATTTATAACCAAAGATACAGAGTTGGCTTACGAATAGATGAATAGACTTGCAAACGGAGGTAAAATAAAACCAGTCAAGTTCGAGCAGCAGCAATGATGGAAGCTCCGTAAACGCAGCGCAGTAAAACAAAGGACGGGACAAGTAGGCTCAGATATTGGTTAAAAGGAGGGAATGTTATAGAAAGAAAAGTAGAAGCATACAAAGAAACTCCAATATCAGTTAGTTCATTTGGATAATTATCGGAGTACAGGTCAACATTTGTCAATGTGAAAATTATCGTTAGATTAAGATCGGCGGCTTGGTCAAATGATAGACAGAAGTGAACTACTTATAAAATGTTATTTTATCATACAATTCCATGAATTATAATCACACAGATATTTTGTGCCTCCTTTTTTGTTGGGGTATTTTATTGCTTATTGCGCATTATAGTGGGTATAGTTTTATATCATAGTTGCTTCTGAGTAATTTCATCAGAATAATTAGATAGTAATGCGATTCCGAACGCTGCTAAACGTTCTGCAGTTGCTGCATGTCTGAAATCGTTATTTAATCCCTTGATGAGGACTTCCTCTTCGGCGTGCTTGATTGGTCAAATAGAAAAATTTGTAATTCAAACGTCACTAATATTCTCGAGCTTAGAAGGGGTCAATTTTGATAACTTATCGTGAAGCGCAGTATGCTTCCTTGTTCCAGTGTTTGCTGCTCAACTTTTAGTACAGCTTAGGGTTGTTGTGTTAATTACTTATGAGTAGATGGTTTTAGTTGTAATTGTTGGTCAAGGCATCTCTCATATTCCCTTCGACAGCTGTGAGCGTCGGTAATCATCATCCGCATCATATGCGCACGATTCAGGATGCATGATCCGCTGTCTTTAGCTGATACTGCGGAGAAGCACGTCTTTCATCAAGCACTCATGAAGAAAAAAAGCTGAATGCGGAAGACCAGGCAATATGAGGTTAGTAAAAATAAGAATAACCAACTCTTTACCGAGTCCTTATGTTTATTTAACATGTGAATCCGGTTTAAAAGGACAATTAATACATTGCAGAGTAGCACAGTTTAGGCACCTAAGTGATGGGGGCCAAGGGCAACGTTCAATCGTTTTTGAAAATATCCAAGGTGGGGAAAGAAACAAAGAAGTTTGGTAGAGAGTTACAGGGTCGGCAAACCTAACGAGAAAAATACTTCTGCCTACATTCCAAGCGGATATAGTGTGCACACAATTTCAGTAGGTTACCTCTGAGATTAGTGTTATGGCTGAGTTTCCGAAAGTGATGGCATACATGACCAGGATCAATCAATATTTGGCAGACTAACATCCCAGTTAGTTTGCAAATTACCTAGTCCAGCCAACGTCCCATATGGCTCAGTGGCTTTAGCTGCTGGCTACTTGGTATCTGCCTCTAGCGGTTATGGTTTCGATCCCAGGTTGGGGACCGAGATCATGCTCACAAATAACGAGCCCCAGTGGGGCGAAACTCGGCTGGTGCCTTTCCGGACTATGCCCTACTATGTAGCTTGTGAACTACTCAAATCATAATATGAGGACCTTTTTATACTTATATGAGATCACCGTGCAGCCCTCGGTAGTGGCTACTGCAACAACTCCTGTGACTTCAGCATTTGATGATAGTACAGATTTCGTAGGCCCTTGACGTTCTCTGTAGTACCGCGTTGAGGTTTCTCTGGCACTTATAAGTCGCGCTTCAACCAATGTTGCGAAGCTTAGATGGCGTATTCAACGTGAGGCTACACGTAAGAATTCGGCATCATGGGGAAGATGGATGGGTCGAATCTTCCGAATGCTGTCCGCAACAAGCCCATATGCTGGTTGGCTCTTTTTGCAGCTGATTCAGATGATTTGGAACAGTTAAGTTCACTTTAAATGAGCACACCAACCTCGCGTTCTTGGGGAGTTGTTTGCAATATATATGACCCAAAACCATACACGTAATCATGCCCATGGCGCAATAGAACAGCGTGATATTTTTCAACCTTGATCGGTAGTGCCTTCAGCACTGACCAATTTGAAAAGGTGCTGAGATCACGCTGAAGCTTTTCGTGGTCATTCGGTTCGTTGATCTCTCGCTATAACTTGACATCATCCGCGAAGCATAGGAAATCGGAATTAACTTCCTTAGTCAGCTGGTTTATGAAAATCAATAATAGACGGGGTTCGAGCACCGAGCATTGTAGTACGCCGCGCTCCATCTCAATAGCGTCTGACAAGGATTTTCCTACTCACAGCTCCAACCGACATTGACCATCCAACGCAGCAGTGGCTCAGCAACTCTAAAGTGCTGAAGTTTATTGCGAATAATTCGGTGGTCTAAGTGTGTGATGCTAGTATCAGATCAAAGAGAGAAGATGGACCAACCGAGCTAGCCAGACAGCTAATGTAAGGCGCAAGTGACGGATTCGATTAATGGACTCTGATTGATCGATATTCATGCAAGTGATTCCCCTTTTGTTTAACTGAAGCAAAGGAGGAAACTCATCGCCTCTGTAGGGACGTTAGTTATGGACTTGAACCTGCAATTTATATCGAGGAGTTTGACTTGCTTATCATGCTCATATTTTCGCCGAGCTGTCTTTGCCGAATAAAACCTTGTCTTTGAAGGACTGAGTCCTGAAACAAGGCGAGCAACTGCTTTTGAGAAGTTCAGGTAAATGACATCGACTCCTGCTCCACCATCAATTGCTTCATTCCAGCTGTTGTGTGGAAATAGCAAGTTCGGAGTGCATGAGCGCTTTTGTCGGGAGCCATTTTGCTCTGGTGATACCAACTTGTGCTTATCCAGATACTGCATGAGTGCATCAAAGATGATTGAAACCATAAACTTTGAAAGCACAAGAAGTAGCGTTATAGGACGGTACTTGGTTTGGCCAGTGCTATTACCCCACTTTATGAATAGGAGTTATGAAACCTCGCTTCCATATTGTTGGATTATGGTTCTCCTCTATACAACGCTGCTAGAGTCTAGCCAAACTCACACAGAAGTTAAGCTGTGCCAAATAGGCAGTCCAGGTTTCGGAATTCGGGGAGTCTTTGTGAGCTCACCATGCCAATTTCCTCAAGGATAAATATTTCCGTGTCATACTCCTCAGAAATGACATCATCCTTTGAGGATGGAAGGATTTCTGCTCAGTCGCGTGCGTTACCTGTGTGGTAATTGTCTTTGTGCAAGTGTCTCATGGCGATTCCTGGGGGACATTCAGTTAACAAGGTCCAAGATACCTCCTCAACAAGCGCGGATAACACGTTGTAGTGCGTGACTGTATACTTTATCATGCCGTTGCTTAGGATAACAAGCATAACATACCTAGGTAAACAGTAGAGTGATATAGTTAGTACAACCCAATGGTGTGCTTGTAATTATTCCCTCTACCGTGAGTTCTTGTTTGATGAGCACAATATCAAGTATCGACGGCTTATCAGCAGTTCGAAATCTGGTGGGAGTGGTCACGTGCTTTTACAGAAGGTAGCAGGAAATTGCCTCTTTTCAACAGCTTTGAACTGTATACAATCAATCACCGCTATTTTCAGGTCGTGTGCATTAAATTCCCCTGTGGTGAGAATGTGACTGCATGCCTTGCTCAAAACAACCTGAAGAACGGGGTTTAGTTTGGAGTCAGTTTCACACGTAGAGTATGCTGAACGGTAAATCACAGCTATACGACATGTGTCTTTGTTCCGCAGCCATAGCCGGCACCAAAGCGAATCTGGGGCACCGATCTCTAGATGGCCATTATGGTCAGGTAGGTGGTTAGCCTTGTGATACAGAATTACGCCACAACCATTTCCAGCTCTGGATTCATGCTAGTCAGATAAATATCAAGCTAACTATAATAAGCAGCGCTTTCACAAATTACTTTTGTTTTGCATTCAACGTCATTGTTTTAGGTTCCATCGCAAATCCTCCCACTGTTCACTTTTGGCAAGCTCTACACATTTACGTTTGAACTCCGTGAAATTAATCGACTTATTTCCAATAATAAATTAGCGTCGGATGCTGGACCTCACAACCTAGCAAATACACTGATTAAAACGGTGGATCCGACATCCCTTTACTACTTCTGAATATTTATTTGCTACCATTGAAAGCCAGGACTGGGCCATCACAGATTAAGAAGGATGTAGACATTCCGCGCTACAAATCAGGCTCCGTCCATGAAATGAACAACTACTGTCCAATAAGCTATACTTCTATATCTTCTAAAGTGATGCGGCGTCAAATAAAGTCTCAAACTGTTGATTTGATGAGGAGGCGAAATCCTAGGAAGACCCCACAACATTCTTTCGTAAGTGCGCGATCCTGTACCACATTTCAGATCGACGCTCTCAATCTCCTGACTAATGCGCTGGATGGCGGTTCATCAGCAATAGACATCTACCTTGATATGCACAATTAGAAGACAAGCGACTATTGAAGTAAGCTGGGGGAGGGCAAAGAATTGGGGATTGAAAATGGGGGGATATAAGTATAGTTGGAGCGGGACAATAAGGATGCAGAAGCGCAAGAAGGGGTATAAGAAGACGGGAAGGCCTGAGCAGTAGTATCCAAACCCTTATCCACCCTGCTCGATGCAGCAGATTGGGCGCCGTTTAGTATCCTTTGCGACGGCCAGAGCATCAAGAAATTGTTGTAGGAAAGTCACTGTATTGCGTGGGCAGAATACTATCAGGTTGCCCAGGCCTAGACAGGAGAACGATTAGGGTTCTCAACCAAAGCCTTTGTTTCAAAAACCTTACCGCAACAGTCGTAACAAGAAGAGTAGTGCCTGCAGAGCGGGGCGACTTGCGGTGCATTGACAAATCCAGTTGCGCAAGTACATCTTCAGTGCGCTGACACTTTTAAACTTCCTAGTCTGAGGGCATATGTCATCAAAGTATTCACCTGGAGGTAAGCACTTTTCACCAACGAACTATCTTTAGACGTGTACGTCTTCACATTCCGAGGAGAAATCATCATGCTCCGATGTTTCTGAGTTTAGGTTTACCAATGCGTTAGCTCACACTTCATTGAGCATGTGACACGCATTACATAACAAATGATGTTTTGTTCTAAATGTCCACCTCCAAAATTTTGTGGTAGGACATAACCAGCTTCAGGCATAACTTCAGACATAGCGCCAATAACTAACAAGCTTAGCGGAACGTTTTGGCGCCACGGACGAACAGTTCTTTTGCTTGATGCGTAGTAAAAAGTATAGTCGAGACGAGGTAGCAATTCCAAAACTTCATACCGCGTGGTCCACAAAATGTATTCCGATGAGAACTTACCGCTAAATTGGTAAACTTCGATGCGTGAGGAAAGGCGAAAACTGCATAGCACAAGCGACCGCTAAGATGGAGCGACCGACTAACGATAAGCGATCAAAGTATAGGCTTTAAGAGTTGGCTGGCACAGCCTGAGTAATCAAGCGTACATAGATTTAGATGTCTTAGATTTATATCAACGCTATGGTACGTTAAGTGTAAGGAAAATATAGGTGTAATATATAGAATGAAGACATGAGAAATAGTTGGATTTTATGAGTCACCTGAATGGGACATTTCGGCGCTTTTCGTGTTTTCTTCATGCAGGACGTTTCCGCTGCTTTCCGTAGAGTAATAATTGTGGACATGGAAAAAGCAATTAGATCCAACGTGACTTAAATCAGTTTCAAGGGACCATTGCGAGCTGTTTTTCTAGATGCACGGTGAGTACTGCAGCTGGTCATTAGCAAATGACTGGAGATATCTCACCTATGATGTTTTAGTTCGATACCTTTAGTATCGACGGGTGCATATCAAGCGGAGTGTAAAAGATAAACTGTAACCTGCATGAGGATGCTTACTGTTGTGAAACCTATTTACAGATGCTCCAAGCAGCGGTTTTCTGACGTGCTCAAAGGAATCTATTATGAAATTGGTCGTGCACTTTTGCGGCATTCCCATTTGTTTCACTTAGGCACACTATGGCTGTATCCTGTTAATTGTCGGCTAAATGTGGTGCAGGATTCAGTAGTGTTGCAGTTGATGAGTACGTTTCGTCCGACACATGGAATCGGAAGTTTTGTGTCAATGATTATAGCGTCCGGATAACCAGGTGTGATTTATATCATCTGAGGCGTCGGAGTTAGGTGGATCAAGTTAGTGAGATAAAGCACGTGATCAAACATTTTGGCAAATGAAGGCTTTTTCACCGTTGCGACGGACCAGAAGGCTGCGCGCTTCATTTTCTTTGTGTCAGTATACATTCGAGACTTATTGGCGTGTTACGTAGAAGTCATGCTAGTGGCTTCGGCGCATCAGAGGAATAACGTTTGCCATATTTTGTTGTATTGCATGTTAGTGGATATCAAGTAGGTCGAGACACCGTTCTTCTATGCGCTGTTACTAAAGACGACGAGCGATAGATACTTAAAGGCGATAAAAGTGATGCGCGAAATGGTTCCAAGCACGGCATTTGTGGTTGCTATTTTGCGCGCCGCAAAGCAAAAATGTTCGGGAATTATACCCAGTGGCCTGGATGCTGTTGTGCCGTGTGCACATGCTGCGCAATACAAAAATGCGGTGCGGTCAGCTGGTAGCGAAAGACCCTTTGGAAAGACCTTTTCTGCTTATGTTGCTGAGGAAGTTAATATTCACGGTGGAGGATACAGGTTACCGAGCAATTCGGGAAACTTTGCTACTGAGAACTACGGAATTCTTCGAGTATTTTCGTCGGACATGGATGCCGTGGTGGTAATGCTACGCGGCGCATCGATCGCGGCATATTATGATGATCTGTGCAATTTTACGAATCGAGTTGAGAAGAGAATGTGCGTATAAAACGCACTTCGAGCAAGCGTTCCTCCTTAACGGCGCTTTCCAAATGTCGGTACGTTGTCGGTTAAAACATCGTCCGTTACAGTACGGTGCAAGTACAGTTCAATCACCTTCGCAACGTGCTATATTTGATGAAACCCTAGCATTTGTTGGCAAGGTTGCTTGGACTTGATTCCCGTCAGGCTTTGTGGTAAAGTTTATATCGACGAATGCATTGTTGGAGCCAGGATCAGACTCATCACCTATGAAGGAACAGCTATTAAAGGCGATTAACGTACCGACTGATCCGTCGTTAGTCAGAATATCCACTGTCAAAGGAGCCACTCAGGTTTACTTACATGTGACCAAGCTAAAGTTACTGCCAGTGAATGGGGAAAAACCTTTTTACGTGGACCATACCTGGTCCGTTTAAATGACGCATGACGTCAAACGAATTATACCGGAGTCAAAGTGTCTGAAACTTTGGACACAACTCAAGGACCTGAAATTTCCGGATAGCTATGAAGAAGGCATAACTATCCTTATAGGCATGAATGCTCCGCGGTCGTTTGAGCATAAGTATGGAAGACCTTCCGAACATTTTGCTATAGGAACTCCTTTGAGTTTGGTTCCGCTCGGTCTAATAGAGAGTCAAGGCGCATCAAGTATTTATGCAAGCGGCTCCCTATCCCCACGCAGGCCCGAACTCGCGCCGTCAGATTTCAAGTTAAGCATGCTACCTTTAGGCTACGGGCTGAGAACCTTTTCGAGGATTGTGTATGCTTTAGTATAATAGACGTCGAAAAGACTTGCTCCCAACGACGTATTTTTTCGTTCGTTGCATCGACGTACGACCCAATTGGCCTAGTGGTTCTGGCTTTGCTCCAAGCCAAGGAACTCTTACGATCGTTTGTCCAAAAAGGAATGGCATAGGACATGCCGCTCAATGAGTCAGAACGAGATAGCTTGCTCCGAGTTTTAAGCGATATTCCTTCGTTAAAATGGCTGAAGATCATGAAACATTATACCGGGACGCTTTGTTGGCAGTCAAATACAGGCAAATTGTTTCTAAGATGCTTCAAAGGCAGAATACGCAGCGTTGTTGTACGCAAGGTTCGTAGGTCTGGATAACCGATTCAGCACCACCATCCTCATTTAGAAGTCCCGTGTATCCTCTATAAGAGCGATCACAATACCTCGATTAGAAAACTTGCAGCTGCTGTTGCTGCTTTTCCATTAGCCATTGAAGTGCCGCAAGGGCTACAACTAGAAGAACAATTTTTATTTTGGCCAGTATGGGTGGTCGTTCCCCAGCCCATACGTTGTACAACTTGATAGTTTACGAAGTTTGTGGTAACTAGCATTCCTGTTATTCATCATTCTTCTCATCCAACGCAGGGGAGGTACGTTGAAACATTAGCGCATCCAGCAGATATGGTTCCCGTGTCAGCGGCAAAAGCCACATGAGCATGAGTCTCGTTGGTCCGTTGTGTTCTGCATCAGCATTAGTGCCACTGGCCAGAACATATACGTTGATGGATTTGCCGAAGGAGGGACTGCGAAAGGAGAATGTTTGGGTCCACTGCACATCAGTGACTAAGTCTTGATTACAAATGCTCATAAATTGTGGCAGTGAGCGTACGCTGAAACGGCGCATTTATATCCTGCTCAGATTCAAGCGCTACTTAGTACAAAAGGACGGCGGACCTTCACCTAATCCGAACAAAGGTTGTTTAACATTATCCGAAGTGAACAGAATTCGACTTCGAAATAGTGCAAAATGTTCAACTGATATACTTCGCAAAGGAGATTGGGACACGGTAATCAAACCAACCGAATGAATATATTAGATGTCTTTAAAGTTTATACATTCCATTAGAGAGACTTTGTCCATTGTTGCAAAATATTATGCTATATATAGTTGAGTGATTGCATTGATAGACATTGCATTACGATGCCAAACATCATATTCAAATTCCAGGTGGACATTTTGTGACAAACTTCTTTAGCATGGAATGTGCTAATATTAATGCGCTGAAATATGCCAACGCTACTGATTATTATATGGCGTCTCAACAGTCCTGGATATCCCAAAGGATTCTTCGAATTGAAAGGTCC